TTCAAACAAAATTCACAGCTGGAGAGAATGAGCGTGCTCTGTGACAGATGCAGGATCCCAGGGACATCTCCAGGCAAGGGGTAAAGGTGAAATATCAGGCGGAGAATCAGTATTTCTGGATCAGAAATGAAGAAGAACAAGGTGGGGGACTCTGGCTTGACCATGGTTGATGTAAAAACTACCCAGAAATCAGGGCTCACGCCTGTAATCCCAGCACTTTGGGAGGCCGAGGCAGGCGGATCACGGGGTCAGGAGATCGAGACCATCCTGGCTAACACGGTGAAACCCCGTTTCCACTAAAAATACAAAAAAAAGTTATCTGGGCATGGTGACAGGTGCCTGTAGTACCAGCTACTTGGGAGGCTGAGGCAGGAAAACAGTGTGAACCTGGGAGGCGGAGCTTGCAGTGAGCCAAGGTCGGGTCACTGCAATCCAGCCTGGGTGACAAAGCAAGACTCCATCTCAAAAACAAAACAAAAATATCCAGAAATCATAAGCAACCCTGAATTCACCATGAGCAAGAGTGTGCTGTGTTGGCTCACAAAGATGAAAGCTGCTTCAGGACACATTAATAGAGGCTGGGCACAGAGAAGGGGAGGTGATATTCCAGCTTGGCTCTTGCTATTAGAACCTCCCTGAGCATGTGCCCAGCTCTGGGTGTCACAATAACAACCTGGAGAGTACCCAGAGGCAGGACCAGGATGGGGAGGGTCTGGGCACCTCACGGGAACTGCTGCTGCCCAGAGCTCGGGGTACTGTCACCCACAGGCTGGGAGGCCTTAAGAAAGTGACTCAACCTCACTGAGCCTCAGTCTTCTCCTCTGAAATGCGGATCACAGGACTTCCTACCAGGCAGGGGATATATGAAGACTAAAAGAAATGACTCACACAAAGATGTAGCCCAGGACCTGGGGGACACTAAGCACATGCTGAGCCTTCAACCACCTGGGAAGGGGAAAGGGAAACACAGGTGGCCACCTGGGGCTGGTGGAGGAATGAGGGGCCTACTGGGAGGATCCTGGGCAAACTCACCTCTGGGCATCTGCCCTGAACTTGGGCTGGCGTCACAAGGAAGTTGGTCACCAAGAAGAACACGTTTTCTCCCTAGGAGGCAAATCTCAAGGTTGGCCTGGATGGGCTCGCATTGACCAGAAAGGCCGGAAGCCGGCAGCCTGGTTTATGAGGGAAGGGATGTTGGCCCCGTCCAGTCATTAACCCTGTCCCCCCATAAGGCAGATTGAAGCAGAGATGGGAAGCCGGCAGGGGTTCTGGCCATTTTTGAGACCGGGAAGCCTCATGCCCATGTCCATCTCTTGAGACAAGTTTCTTTCTCATTTGCTCAACCAAAATTTATTTGTGTGTGTGCGTGTGTCTGTGTGCATTTAGAGACAGGGTTGCACTTAGTCACCCAGGCTGGAGTGCAGTGTTATCATCAGTGCTCACTGCAAACTCTAACTCCTGGGCTCAGGAGATCCTCCTGCCTCAGCCTCCCAAGTAGATGGGACTACAGGCTCCAGCTACCATGCCTGGCTTCAACCAGAATATTCCAACAGCCTGCTGCTTCTAGTACTGAAGATCCAGGGGAGAGCTGGGCCCGGCACCTGCCCAGGATGGAGAAGAGGTGAGTCTCCCATCCCACACACAGCAGCACTGTGGCCAGGGGAAAAGAGGGAAAGCTCTGCCTGTGGTCAATGGGTGGCCTAGGACATTGGAAAGAAAGGCTGACCCTCCAGTGCTGCTCGTGAGAGCACTGTGAATTTGAGGAATGTATGCACAGGAAGGGAAGGCGAGGGCTGAGCAGAGGGTGGTGGGAGTGGCAGCCATTAGGATTGGGAGAAATGTGTGGACACCGTCATAGGCAGGGTTGGGGGAATTCCTGAGGGTAGAAGCAGGGGCTGCAGGCTCTGAGGATGCCTGGTGTGAAAGTTCAGCCTGGCTGCTGCGGGGTGTGCACCGAGCAGTAGGGAGGAGGCGAGAGGGGCATCTAAGGGCCCTCTAGGAGGCCATAGTCTCATGCAGGCATGGCAAGGGTAGTGGTGAAAAATCTTAGAAGGGACAGGAAGGGGTCGAGGTTGAGTCACGGATCTGGCTGAGGCACTAGTGGATGTCACAGCCATCGTGACTAGTGGATGTCACAGAGGCCATGCCAGGAGAGGGAAATAATTCATCTTTGGACATGTGGGTGTGCACCTGGAAGACAGTTGTGCTCTGGGCAGGTGTTCACTGGGGCTACACACACCCTGGGCATCAGAAGAGCAGAAGTGGAAGTTGAGGCTGGGGATGAGCTGGGTGGAAGGAGGAGGGAAACACAGCCGAGCAGAGGGGAGGAGCAGCACCTGACCACAGTGCCCCAGGTCAGGGAGCAGGGCTACAGGAAGTTCCATGCCCCAGCACCCCACACCACTCTCAAGCTCAAGCCATTAGTCCCGGACACCCCCTTCTTTTGTTGGCAGTCTTTGGAAATGCAGTTTCTCTGGTCTGGCTTCTTTTTTGGGACAGGGGACAGAGTCTCTCTTTGTCTCCCCGGCTGGGGTGCTGTGGAGCCGTCTCGGCTCACTGCAAGCTCCGCCTCCCAGGTTCACACCATTCTCCTGCCTCAGCCTCCCCGAGTAGCTAGGACTACAAGCGCCCACCACCATGCCCAGCAGATTTTTTGTATTTTTAGTACAGACAGGGTTTCACCGTGTTAGCCAGGATAGTCTCTATCTTCTGACCTCGTGATCAACCCGCCTCAGCCTCCCAAAGTACCGGCATTACAGGAGTGAGCCACCGCGCCCAGCCCTGGCCTGGCTTCTTGACCAGCCCCTTTTTCCACCCTGAAACCTCCTACACATCCCTGAAAGCCCTGTCCAGGAGCCACTCCTCTGTGAAGGCCTTCCTGAGAACCCCCAGCTGTCTCCGGCATCACATGCTTCTCTCTGCATGGCTGCATGGCAGGTGTCCAAGCTGTCAGTGGGCAAAGGACTTGTGCCCCCATCAGCAGCACCAGGGCCCCCACCTGAGGTGGCTTCACGAAGTCGGCCACATCCCACAGCCGGTTTCCAAGTTCCTCGATCTGAGTCACGGAAACCCCTTTGAGTTTGGTGATGACAGAAATCTGGGGGTCAAGATCCCGGTCCTGGTAGCCTTTTTTGGCGAGGAGAGCCCACCTGGGGAAGAGAAGTTAGGCAGTGTGGTGTGTCCCCAGGGTGTAGTGACAGGGGTGGAGCTGGGCCCTACATGCTCAGTTCTCTCCCCACACCCTACAGGCTCCCAGCCCAACATCGAGGGCCCCACCTCCTCTCTGGCCCCACTTCCCACTCCAGACCCCCTGAACGAGACAGAAGCTCCAGCCATGCGTCAGAGAGCCAGTGCCCTCGGACAATCACCTTCCCCAGCCAGCACCCACCCCCAGCCTCACTAGACCCAGCTCCCAGCTTCTAGACTCCCCTGACCCGAGATATAGCTGGTGGTCTCTCTGGGGCTACTGCTCCAGCTCTCACAGATGTTGTTAAGGACGATGTCCTGCGCTCCCTGGGTGGGGCCATGGGGAGGGACTGGGAAGGAGGCAGGTGGGCACACAGGACAAACACACAGCTTGCTCTTGCTCTCCTGTCTTGTATTGCCTACCTCCCCCCAGCCCCCGAACCAATCTGCCCCCTTCCCCTCCAGCCCCTAAACAGCTCATCCCTCTCAACTTCAACCCAGCAGGACCAAACCCCACCCCCCACCTCTTCCCCTGCCCCTCCAGCCTGGCCAAAAGCTCTTCTCTCTTACCCTACCACATAGACCACGATCCCAAGCTGCAGCAGCCTCTGCAGGGCGCCCACCCGCCAGTTCCTGGTCATCACATACTTCTCTGTCTTATAATCCAGAAGCCCCCAGCCTGTCGTAGCCCCTGGGGAGCCCATGCTGCCAGCTCCTGCTAGCTGCGGGCACATGAGTCAGCATGGTAGCTGCAGTCACAGCTGAACAGGAGGCAAAGCAGGGCCCGAGCCAGGCCAGGCCAGCGACTGTTAAAGGGACACTTCCACTAAAGCAGGATCCAGCTTCCGACACCCAGCCCTCAGCACCTAACCCCAGCTGTCCTGCACCTCCCACCCTCCCTACATTCCCTTTGCTGGGCCCTGGTGGCACACAGAATACAGCAGCAGCTCTGTCCCTGCCCTCTGGCCTCACTTCCTGGGGTGGGAGTGGAGGTGGTGGGAGGGTGGGGAGAGACAGCTGTTATCAGTGCTGTGAGAGGACGGCCTGAGCGCAGCAGCAGCAGGGCGGGGAGGGTGTTGAGGAAAGCTTCAGCAAGAAGTGACCTCTAAGCTGACCCTTGCAGATTTCTGAAGTTCGACAAGCAGAAAAAGATGGGGATGGAGGTTCCTGGTGCAGGGAGCAGCGTATGCAAAGGTCAGAGCATGCAAGAGAACTAACAGGCCCAGAGTGAGAGGGTGACCTGGCTCTGCGAAGTTCCCCAGGCCCTCCTGAAAAGCTGTCCCCTGCCACCTTCACCAGTGCAGTGAGGAAAACACAAGTCCTGGAGTCAGGCGTGTTTCCCAGTCCATGAAAGGGGGGCGATGCTGGAACCCCCTAGGGAGGCAGGGAGGATAAATGCCCACAAGGGGCCCAACCCAGTGCATGGCCCGTGGCGCGTGCAGTTTACCCTCTCAGGCGAGGAGCCTCAGCTCAGGCTAGCCACGGTTTCCACGGCAACCAACAACACCGGGTTGCCAGGGCGACCGCCGCTGGGGAGCTCGTCGCTAATTGGCGTGGCCGACGCCAGTCGATGGACGCCACATTCGATTGGTCAGCGCAGCCGCAGACTCCGCCCACATCCCCGGGCCGCGCTCTAGGTGAGGCGCCAAGCGGTCTTCGCCTGAGGGTCTGAGGCTGCGAAAGGGGCTTAACCTGAGAAAGGGGCTTAACCATGAATGGTTCCTGCGAGAGGTCTGGGGAGGATGAAGAGCAAGAGGAAGAGGCGACGGCGGCCTGTGGACGTCTTGCAGGGGTCCCCCAGGCCAAGCAGGGTCCCGAGACCGATTCGGACTCCGACCTGGAGACGCAAGGTGCTCAGGGCAGGGGCCAGGCCCGTCTCCTCCCCTTGGAGGCTTCTCCCACAGGGGTTGTGGGAGGTGGGTTGGGGCCGAGGAGGCAGGAGACCCCTGTTCAGCAGGGCGCGTAGCCCTCTGCGGGGCGTCTGCAGCCCCTCGCCCTCCCCTCGGCGCTCCTGGCGGCATCAGTAACTTTACCATGAGAAGGCGCTTCCAGAAGGAGGTTAAAATGCAAAATCCCGCCAGACAGTGCACCAAGGGCTCTCCCGGCCTGAAGTGCAATCAGAGCTGGGTTTTCCCAATCCATAGGTAAAACTAAGCTAATGGATGTATAGAATTTAGAACTACTTCTGTTTTCTCCCCGGGAAGATATTCACAAAACACTTGTGGTCTGCAATCGGGTTAAAAGACACAGCGTGCAATTTGGCATCAGACAGGCAGAGGCCTGACTCTGGCAGGATTGGCTACCACTAGCTGTGGTACTTTATTTATGAATTCATTTATTAGAGCCAGTGTCTTGCTCTGTCACCCAGATTTCAGTGCAGTGGCAGGATCCATAGCTCACTGCAGCTTTGAACTCTGCGCTCCAGTGAGCCTCCTACCTCAGCCTCCTGAGTCGCTGAGACTACAGGGAGCCACCACATCTGGCTAATTTAAATAATTTTTTATCTCACTATGTTGCCCAGGTTGTCCAACTTGCTTTTGACAGCTGTATGACTTTAAGGAAAAGATTTGCGTTGCCTTAGCCTCGATGTTCCCATCTGTCATATGGGGGCAGTGGTCCCAAGGAGTGTAGGGAGCAGTGCTTCTAGAGGCAAACAATAGGCCAGGTAGTGATGCAGGGCAGGGGAGGAGGCAGGTGGCTATAGCCATGCAGGGGTTCACATTCATCCTGCTGTCTCCTACCAGGCACCCATGGGCTTGGAGAACTGGTCGGGGACACCCTCTACCTGAGGTCCTGCTGGATCCATAGCGTTGTGCCCATCTTCTGCTTTCTGTGCCAAGGGAGCACCCCAGAGCTGAACCTGCCGCATGGTGGCCTGGGGCCCCAGGTACCAGGGGAAGGACACTGATTCCAGGCCTACAGGGAGAGGCCCTGGGAGACAACAGCCGTGGGAGTGCCCCTGAGTCTGTCCCCTACACTTGCCAGCTTCTGCCTGTGCCAGTCATGCCCTACCCTCCACATCTGGGAGACAGATGGGATTGAGGCTATGACAGATGGCATTAAGGGTTGGGGAGCCTGCAAGCTTCTAACCCACTGGGGGCTCTGGGAGAGGTGGGAGTAGGGGGAGACCTGGGCGGGGCCTAAAAGGAGAAGCAGGTGTCTCTTAAGCAGGTGGGAAGCGGGGTACTTTCCAGGTCAGGGACGTGGAGTCGGCTGAGCCCTGGAGCATGAGCCAGGATAGTAGCCAGTGTGTTTGCTCTGTCTGTCCCAGGGTGCCGAGCTCTGGCTTCCTCATTGAGCTCCAATCCATATGTCAAGTAGCTGAACCTTTGGGACAATGGGCTCTGTGGGGCAGGTACAGAGGCCCTGGCAGGTGCCCTGAACAAAAGCAGCAGCATCCGTGGTAGGTGCTGGGCCTGGGGAAGGTGGGCAGGCGTGAGTCCTCCCTTTCCTCAGGGATGTGCCTCCACCCCCGAAAGCTGGGCCATGTCACCTGGGGCCTGCTGGTGTTGCTGGTGGATAGAAGAGGGGCCTCGTCACAGGAGGGGGCATGTGGGGTGGAGTTAGACCCTCCGCTGTGCAGTCAATGCTGGATACAAGTCCCTTCCTCACCCACCCCACCCCACCACTCTCCTTCCTTGCTGGCTGGAACCCATTCTCCTGCCCTGCCCTGCACATAAGAGACTCCCAGTGCCTGAATGCAGGGTGGAAAGTCCTGCAACACAGACAGTTGCGGACTGGGAAGTTCAAGAAAAGGGTGGGCAAGGTGTAAGTTCGTTGGAGCTGAATCCAAATGCTGGCTCTGCCACTGAGAAAACAGGGTGACTTATGAAAGCAGCTCAGTTTCCAATCTGTGAAATGGGCCCCACAATATCTTATGGGCTTGGGGCTGTGGTGAGCATGAAGTGAAACGTGCTCCTGAAGTGGTCAGCAGAGTGTGTGACCCATGTAAGTGCTCCATGCATGGCCACCTGGGCTGTTATTGCCAATCCTGGCAATGGGGCCGTGAGGGCTTCTGAAGTGGGTGGTGATATCACTGCCAGACACAGTCATTGACGGGGTGGCTGCCCCCCACCACAGCAGTCTCTACAGTACCGAGAGGTAGGCGGTTTTAACCACTTGACACAGAAGCTCGTGGGCACACAGGGAGAGGGAGGTCAGGGGCAGAGGGGACCCAGCCATTGGGAGCCAGAGCCACCATGCAACCCCAGGACAGTTCACCTGTAAGGCGCCTTCCTCTGCCTCAGACCTGGAGGTTTGGCGGATGGCAGAAGAGGGAGGTGGGGGGGGTGCCTGGCTTTGTGTCCCACTGACTGAGGAGTGGTTCCGTCCCCCAGCTGTGGACCTGTCGGAGAACCAGCTGGGAGTGTTAGGAGCCCAGGCCCTCTGTGCTGCTTTCACCATCAACCGGGCCGTGCAGAAGATACAGCTGTCAGGGAATGGCCTGGAGGAGCAGGCGGCCCAGTACCTTGCTGAACTCCTGCCGGCCCACACAGACCTGAAGTCCCTGGACCTGAGCTACAACCAGCTGAATGAGCAAGCAGGTAACGCCTGCCCAGGGCACCATGGGCCATAAAAACTCAGCTTCCTGGGGCAGGGTTGGGTGGGGGTTGGCAGGACCGCACTGCACATCGCCAGGGAGCATGTGCTCTGGCTCCTGCTCCCCACACCCCGCCTTGCCCCACTCCTCTTCCACTCCAGCCACACAGAACTCTTCATTCCTTCCACAAATATCTCAATGCCCACTGCTGTATGTGCTGCGCACTGACTTAGCCACCAGGGATCCACCTTGAACAAAACCAAGTTCCTGGCCTCAAGGAACAATGTTCACAACATCATTCTCAGAAGAAACAAATAGTTTCTGCTTCTGGAGAAGAATGGGGACCCCCTCCTTTAAAGAGGTGGCTGGGGAGGCCTCTGTGAGGTGATATTTAAGCTGAAATGTGCAGAGTGGGAAGGAGTCAGCCTTGGCAAGATCAGAGGGAGAGCATTTCAAGCAGAGGAACCGTGAGCATGCGGGCCTGTTTCCCAGACTGGCAGACAGCAGTGTGACTAGGCTAGGGAGCCAGGGAAGCGTGGCCAGGCTGTGGGGTGGAGAGGCAGAGGGGGCTGCAGGACTGTTAACTGTGGCAAAAAAGGGTGAAGATTTTGTTCCAGGTGAGATAGAAGACATGGTTGGGATTCCTTGATCTCATCACTCTCATGCTCCTGAGTGTCTGCTTTGCCAGGAATATGCACTTCCACCTGCCTCTCCTCAAATGGTCCAATAATAGTAAGGATCACCTGGGACCCTGGGTTGGGCATGCAGATGCTGACCCTGGACCTGCTGAACCAAACTCTTAGGGGAATGCCCGTGAATCTGCATTTTAATGGATGCCCCAGGAGAACTCTCTTTTCTGCAGTGTTTCAGAATCTCTGATCTGGCTCAGGCAGCTTAGAGGGAGTGGGATGGCACCAGACTTGGCCTTTGAGAATTAGCCCTGGCGTGTAACTGCCAGAGAACCAAGTTGCCTTCTAAAAAAATTACTACTGGGAGTCAGTGAAATTAAAAGACAGGCTTATTTCAGACTTTGACAAACTGAATATAGGTGTCTCTTTGGACCTGCACAGTAAAAGGGCAAGTGCCAGAGAGGCAGCCAGGAGGGAGGGCCTGGAAGCTAAGGTGGTATGAAGGCTTCACAAACAGACACATGTACATGAGGGAGGTGGGTGGGGACTGGAAATGGACAGGCCCAGCAAGGCCATTTTTTTTCTCCAGAAGGAGATCTGTGGGAGGGCCCGACTCCCTTGAGAGGTGAAGGAGCTTGGGTCTCTGCCTCCCCTACTTGATCTGTGGCAATGGTAGCACCTACAACATAGGACCGCTACAAGGGTCACACAGAACAAGCATTGGCAGTTGTAGGAGTGTGTAGAAGA